TGGCTGTTCTTGGAATCTTCCTGCCTCGGCTCTAGAAGTCAGCCATTTCTCCCAAGAGTCCAGCTTCCTTTTAGTGGAAAGAAGTATTTAAGAGCCAAGATCTGAACTCTCTGTGTGCTCACTGCTATTAAAGTGTCACTGCCCCCACGCCCTCTTCAAAGAGCTCCGGAATGTCTGAGTGTGTGTGTCTCTACACCCATTTATGTGGATTGCAAATCATGTGTTCACACCAATCCCGGCACTCCCCGTCTGATCCTGCAGGGTCCGTCTGCTTGTTCCGTTTTCTTTCCGAGTCTGAAGCTCAGCCCCCATTTCAGGGCTTTACAACGGAGTTGTCTGGTGAGAGAAGGGAAGAGGAACTGCGTTGTACTTGGATGGCTGTTGCCAAATTGCCCTCCATAGAGAATGCACCACTTTACACCCCCACTAGATATTTTAAAGCTTTTTCTTTTGCCTACGTGATAAGTGAAAAACATTATTTCTGATGTTTAAACATGTATTACTATCACTGCTAGATCGCTTTACTACTTTTTAATGGTTCTCGTGAAAAACAGAGAAGAAACTTGACAGGGAGAGTGTTGCCGCTGGATTTAACTGCTGCCCTAAGGAAAATAGTAACAATGAGTGAACGACCTGTCGGCGCTGGGATGCTGCCTGGCTCTTGCCGGGAGAAACTGGGTTGCAAGCCTTGGACGTCACTTCCGTTGTCTGTCCCGAAGAGCAGGGGAATTGTCCCTTTTCGGGGAACTGTGTCAGGGGACAGGAGCTGGTGGGCTACCACCAACACATCAGCTGTGCTCTGTGCTCTGCTTTGCAGGAAATAGATGCTGGGACAGGAAGTCCCTGGACCCTTGTCTTTGGGTCTCCTGAAATTTCTTTCTTGTGATTAAAATACTTAAAAGTTTAGGCGACCCAGAGAAGAAAGGCATTTCTATTTTTGCAGATCTTAAAACAATCGTGTATGAGGTTGACATTGCCCATCCGGGACCTTTTTCACTGACCTGCAAAAAAGGCAGTTGCGTATGATGCATAGTTTTACATGCTGGTGCTTTTGTTCCCGCGGTTCTCTATAGCCTAAAAAAAGTTCTCTTCTTCACACTTCCCACCCCACAGCTCCTTGCTCACCCACCTCCAGTTCATGCTGGTGCTTCACGAGAACTTTGTCTTTCTAAATTCTGCCTTAAGTGTCAGGTGGTGGTTAATGCTCCCTCTCCCACACTCGTCTGCAAGCTCTTCGAGGGCAAACACTGAGTCTTATACACTGCAGCACCCGGACCTAGTACCAGGCTTTGTGCAAAGTAAATGCTTAAAAAACAATTCTTGTTGAATGAATTAGCAAGTGAATGAGTGAAGAAATGACTGCAGCAGGAGTGGGAAGGGTCATCCCACAGGAAGGCTAAAGAACCAAGAGTTCCCGCACCTCTTCGGAGCCCAGGTGCTTAAAGCGACTCAAGGGATCACCTAGAAGCCGCAGCAGCCCTCATGCTGGGTGCGATGGGTTGAGCCTTCCTTCACACACACACACACACACACACACACACACACACACACACATACAGATGTCTAGCCTCGGCCAACAGGCTTAACCTGCAAACAGGCTGCGTTTGCCAGCGGTGCTCCAGGCTGCTTGCTTCCCCAGTGAGGCTGCACTGGGGAAGTCCACGCTTGCCCAACCTCCTGTGATGCCCTGCCAAGCTGAGAATCATTTCCCACCCTAATCTCGGAGACAGTTCAAGCTGCCCCGGACAGGCCGCTCAGGACATTCCGATGTTGTGAAATTTCCTTTTCTAAGGACACTGGGTGTCATGGGAAATATGAAATGTCAGACAGCTGTTCCCCTCCTGGTGTGGGAGGGGACGGTCCCTGAGCCCTGTAATGACCACAATGCCCCCCCAGCCAGTAGCTGGGCAGAGGCGCCCAGGCGTGTCCTGGGAATGCGGAATTTCTTGGCCCAGGTTCAGATTAACCCCTTGCCTCAGGAGTTTTCGTTGAAATTTGTTATGTATGGAAAAGTCAGAACTGTGATTCCCCTTGTAAATTAAATAATCCGTGTATTTTATACATTTTAGGTTCCAGTTTGAGAGGGGAAAGCACAGTTTTGACTTGTCCTTTCAAACAAGGACATCTTGGACATCAGACGTGGACAGTTTTTAATGGGGCACCAGCCACTTTCTCGGGCCCTCTTTCCCAAAGCTGGCTGGACCCCATTGTTTCACGAGCCTCTATCCTCAGGGCTAGAAAACTGCTGGAAGCGCCCTGCAGGCTCAGAGGCTCCAGGCCCTGTGCCCGGAGGTAACATGGAAACACACTGCAGCCCAGCCGAAAGAGCCTGCCTGCTCCCCAGCCGCCCCACTGCCCGACGAGACTCACGGCCCTCACCCCTCAGTGCCGGGTGGTTTTCCGCTCCGAGCCCTTTCCCTCCCTTGGGAAAGGAAAAATAAGAAACTTTGCTGTCCGCACTTCACTGGGACTTCTTCCATGGCCCACATCACCAACCGCCCTGGCAGTTTTCAACACGTCTTTGTTACAAAGAGTACGCAAACATATTTTAAAAATAAGACGACTGTGAATCAAAACAGTATCTTTTTCTTTCTACTGGCATTTTAAAAAAATCCTTACCCGAGGATATATGTACTAATTTTAGAGCGGGAGGGAGAAACAGCGATCTGACAGAAAAACAGTGGTCAGCTGCCCCCGGCACGCACCCCGACCAGGGATCAAACCCACGAACCTTTGGTGCAGGGGACAATGCTCCAACCAACTGAGCCGCCCAGCCAGGGCCCCAGATGGTATATTTTTTAAGTTGATAATTGCCAATGCTGGTGAGATTGTGGGAACATGAACCTTGCCAATGCGAATGTAATTTGGAATAACTTTCATTGTGGGCAATTTGAGGTATATCAAAAGGCCCTAAAATGTGTGTTTCTTTTGATCCAGCAATTTCATTTCCAGTCATTGATCCTAAGAAAATAACTTAAAATGCTACCAGACCATTGGTCTTAAGAATTTAAAAAATGGCAACTTATAAGTCCAAAAACTAGTGCAATAGAACATATTGCAGCCACTACAGTGACGTCTCATGAGATTATAATAGACCGTGAAGTTTAGAAACCAAAACACTATTAAAAAGTGGTCCTTGTGAAGAGGAAAATACACACAGGCACAGAAAACAAGGACAGCATGGACAGTAGGAGCTGGTATTGTGGGTGATTTGAATTTTCTTTCTATTGAAATAACAATGTATTACCCTGGTACATTTAAAGGTGCTGTTCGGTAGTCTGAGGAAGACCCCGAGAGGTGGTTACTACTTTTGTTGCTGTCTAGGGGTCTGAACTGCCCAAGCCGGGAGGCGAGGGCTCAGCAGAGGGCAGGACGTTCCTCCTCTCTCCTCCCATCCACCTTTCCCAGCCCGAGGTAACCACTTCAGAGACAGCCCTTCCCCGAGCAGCTCTGCAGCTTGGGTGGGTTTGGTCATCTACGTCCCACCCACCACCTGCCTCGAGAGCAGGGCAACAGCCCCCGTGCTGACCCCGAGTTGGGATGTCTCCCCTTTGCAGAATTCCTTACCTGACAGGATACGTCTCTGCCATTTCTACCTGAAGCTGTTGCTCAGACTCTGAAAGGCAGGAGGGAGGCGGTGAGGGCCTCGGGAGGCAGGCAGGGTCTGCTGGGGGCAGGAAAGGGGCAGAGGGGGGAGTCTCTTCAGCAGAACTACCTGGGTTTGAGTTAAATCTGTTCCACCTTGAGCGAGTTAGCACCTGCCTTCTGCCTAAGTCTCGTTAGGAGTGGCCCGGGGCTGACGGCTGCAGTACCGGGTAATGGCCCTGCTCCTAGGGTTGCTGCGTGGGTTCCGCACTAAGTGCTTTAGCCCCGCCGGGTATGGTGTATTGTCTTTGAAGGATCAGCTATTATCACCATTTAAGAGTTGGTGAAATGTTCTTCCTTTACCCTCCTTGCAACTTACTGATGGCAACGCACGTCTGTGTGGACCCTCCTGTGGTCCAGCAGTATCCAGGCTAAAAAGTTCTCCCACCCCGCACAGTGTGTTAGAGAAGCACACCCTGGCCACTGCTCCCAGAGCCGGTTTCGCATGGCCCGGTGTTTTCTATCCCAAAGCGCCCTGTTCATCCCTCTGCCCACACCTTCGGCGCCTGCTATGACTGCCCCATCCTGTCACCCTCCCCTACCTGGCAGTGACCTCTTCACCTCCACGTCCTCTGCCTCTTCATCTTCTGACCTCCAACAATCGTCCCCTCTGCCCCCCGCCAGACTGGCCCCCCACTTCTCCACCTCAGAGGCCGTTGATGTTCACCAGCTGCGCAGTCTGTTGTCCTTCTCCACCAGGCCGACCATTTCTTACAGTCCCCAGGCACAGTATGCTTTATCCCCCTAAATTCTCTTCCTCAGAGATGGAGAGAGCTCCCCCCCACAGCCCCCAAATGCAGAGCTTAGTAAGCCAATCGGCTACTTAAAACTGCTAAGGCGCTTCCCAGTAGCTCATAGCTGCGGCAGCACTCCGACTGCTCCTGGTTTCTCACACTGGCCACCCGAGGCCTTCGCACCCGCACCATAGTGTCCTCCCTGTGGCCCCGCTGTACTGGCCCTTCACCTCTCTGCTGAAATGCCATAGAGTCTGCAAGGGGCTTTGCGACTGCGCACTCCGACCCTCCCGGACCACGGCCGGCACGGCCACGGCTGCCTGTCTGCCTTCCCACACGGCAGCAGTCCACGCGCAGCTCCCATGGTCCTGCTCGCGGCTCAGTCCCAGCTCCAGAGCCGTGGCTGGCTCACTGGGGGCATTTTTAAAGAAATCCATTTCCACTCACATTTGTGGCCTCTCTTCCTTGAAGCACGGGCCACCCCCCGTCCCACCCCCTTCCGTTGCCAGGGTCCCCTCGCCCGGAGCGTGAGCTCCGCCCCTTCATGAGTGCCGACCCGCATGTGCTCTTTTCGTCTGGGTTTCTGTAAAAACTATGAAAGGATCACATCTCACAACTGCCTCATAAGAACTTTTTTTAATTATTATTTAGAAATGCAGTTATATACATAGAACAATTAAAATTAAATTAAACTTTGTACAAATATTAAAATACTATCTTCACACCCACTGCCATGTACAGGATACCAAAAAATATATATATATATAAAATAAAGCAAACCCAAACTGATTGAGTGACATCCTGCACAGAGTCAACGACGCATGTGTTGCTTGAAACCATTACGTGAGTACCATTCTGCAAAGAAGTCCATAGTGGTGATAAGCCAGGGCAGGGTGCGGTGGGCGGCCCCGCAACCTGCACCCATCTCTCCTCCCTGCGTGGCAATCCAAGTGCTTTGCCCCTGCACCCTCTCCAAAGAGCTCTGCTGCCTGGCACATGGTTCCACGTTGGGGTTTTCACTCATAATTCTACCAAGTTTTCAACTGGATATTAGGAGGCGTTTCCCAGCAACGCTGAGCCCACCAAGCAAAACCCTCTCTGAGCCCTTCGCTGAGCGTGGTGAGGACTCTCCTGTGCTGAGAGCAGGAGCCCACCCCCCCCCCCCACACAGGCCCCGTGAGGGACGCTCCCAGCAAGCACATCTGGAGTTCAGCTGGAAAGCCTGCATACCACTTCCCTTCTGGGTCTATTCTCTTTAAAGAGGAAAAAGAGCAAGGGTGTAGAAATGCGTGCTGCATATCCACTCCTGATCTAAGGATGTAACCTGGGAATGGGAGTGACACTGCTATGTGCAAAGCAAGCGGGCTGAGAGCTCAGCTGGGACTGGGAAGCAAGGGCTGAGTGCTGCTGGTCCCCGTGCCGCCGCCGCCGCCACCACTGAGGCAGGAAGGGCGCGCCTGTCTGTGTCGGCTTCTCCACAGAACTTTTGGGGGGGGTGGGACAAGATGAATGGGGAAGATAACATTAGTTCCAGTTCTGTTCGCAAATGGGTTAGTAGAACACATACTGAAATGCCTTATTAAAAAACCAAAAGCACTCACGGAGTGGCCAGGACTCAGCCCATCTCACAGTTCACACCGGGTGAAAGGGGAACACGGCACGCAAAATTCGGAAATGGCAAATCATAGAGCCTACTTGCAAAACTAAGGCATTGAAAAGGATGGGGATTTTAAATGATTTTCACCGTGTACTGGCCCTCGTAAGTCACTGAATGTAACTTCAAGTTGCCAGGATATACAACCTGCATTGAATCAGCTCACATGTGCAAAATAATTCCGTTAAAAAAAAGTCCTTTGGTGCTGACCATCCTCCGGGGCAAGCCCCCTGCTGGCCCCCCCTCAAGGGGAGCCCAGAAAAGCCAGGTGAGGGACAGCTTTCCTGTCTGCTCCAGGCTCCTCTAACAGCCTGCCACTGCCACCGTCAGCTCTCTCAGCTGGGCCCCACCTTAAGGCAGCTGTAATGTCTCTAATCCTTGGCAAGGGACAAAGCCCAGGAGCCCCTGAAACAGCAGGGCTGATGCTAAGAAACTGCTTCGGGGAAGAGGACTAACAGCCGTCTTGGATGTCGGCAGGGGTGAGGCCTGGTCCCTCACCCACAGGCCTGGGCCTCCACAGGGGCCTCATCCAAGTCAGTGAATAGTGGGTGGGGAGAGGGAGGGAGGGGAGGACTCCAGGGGCTCCCGTTCACCCTCCTTCCTTTCCTACCAGGCAAACAAGTCTGGGTTTGTGATCCCTGGGATGGCGTTAACAGTGGCCACTGGGAAGAAGGCTCCAGAAGGGCTTTTCACCTCCCCAAGGCCCAAGCTGGTAACCTATGTGGCTGAATAAACCCAAAACAACAAAAAGTGCAATCTCTTAGGGAGGAGAAAAGCCCAGAGTAATATTACAAAGAGGCAAGATCTTTCATTAAAAGAAAAAATTCTAGGTTAGAACTCAGGGTTTGGATGGTTGGAAATAAAAGCTGCAGGCTCTGCAGTGAAACAAGGGACCCCACACCAGTTGCTCTGCTTTCTTTTTGGAGGACGAGGGAGCCCCTGTGGGGAAGGAGAGCCCACGCACAGCGAGGCAGCTGGGTCATTCAGGACCCACCCTCCAGATGGGCCCAGAGCCAGCGACTGCTGGCAGGCACTCTCTGGAAATGGCCTCTTAGCAGGCCAAGGACAGTTCCTTGGTACATTTCATCTCTCTCAAAGGCTTCTGCCTTCTATTTCTGGCAGCCTCAACAACCTGTTCCATACCTAACCACTCGGACCTGGACTCTGGGCTCCTTAGCGGGGCGAGGGGAGAGGAGGGAGTGGCCACCAAGCCCAGCAGGTGCTGCCCCTACCCTGAGAGAAAGGAAGACAAGGGGCAGCAGGTGGCCAGGAAAGAAAAGGCAGTAAAGTGCGAGTGTGAGCGGGGCCGGGAGGCTGAGCACAGGCCCTTCCCCTGATCTTCCAGGCCACCCACTCCCGGAGCTGCCCAGTTCAGCTGGGTATTGAAAATACACTGGGCCCTTTATTACTCTTACCCCCCAAACAGAGAGACATAGGGGAGGCACAGAAGTGCAGGGCAGAGTCAGCTTTGAAATGTCCTAGCCCCCATGTTTCAGAAACAAGCCTTACTTACAGTCACATCTTTTGAAGATGGAAGCAGCCTGCTGGGGCTCTGCCACCCTGGCCTGGTCAGCACTGCAGACGCGACCGAGGCAGAGACAGCCGGCAGGAGCATCTGGGGCACCCAGCCCGCTCCTCCAACACTGGGGCCCGGTGCCAGGCTGCTTTGCAACCCTCCACCCACTGCGACCAGCCAGGCGAGGGTGTGTGAGGACTGTCTCTCAGCCTCTCCCCCAGGTGCCAGAGAAGACCGGGGAGCAGTTTGTCCGCTGTGCACAGGAGGAGGGGACAGCAAGGGAGGCAGAAGCAGGAAGAGCAGCAGTGCGGCAAGCAGCAGGACACTTCCTGGGGACAGTTACTAAGGCACGTGACTGCGGTGAGGGGGACCCTCAGAACCGGGCTGAGCTGCCTGCAGCTGTCTGGGGACTCAGTCTGTGCCTCTCAGGTTTCCCTCGTCACCGCGAGCCCAGAATGGGGCAGTCTGCCCTGCCTGCCAATGACCAGGTGGGCAATCCACAGCCCCACGGCCTCTCCCGTCCAGGGATGGTTCACCTCGGGCCTTTGGGGGCAGCAGGGACACAGGAGCTGCCCAGGACAAAACACAGGAGGCAGCATGCAACTTCCCCTTATACTCCAGGGGAAAAAAAACCAGAGGCCAGAGAGGCCGATGCTTAAGTAAGAGGCAAGAACTTGCATATTAGTAAGACAATCATTATCAGCCACCTTCCTGCCCTCCCTGGGGATCTTCTGGATGATTCCTGGAAACTCTATTCAGCAGGGCCAGGAGGTGGCACCTCTGAGCTAGACAGCAGGGTACTGGGACAGCTTTGGCAGGACCTCCCACGTCCTCCATTCCTGGTCACGGAAACGCGCCACTAGTGTCGAGCACGGGCTGGGCGAGAACATGACGACTGCACACACAGTGGAGGGACCCACACTCTCCCTCCGATGGGAGCCATTCTTGTCTCCCCGGTGCTCACTCTGCGATCTTCTCCTGGCAAGGGCAGCGGTGCCAGCCCTCAGCGGACACTGGACCCAGGCCCAGGCCTTTGTGGGGCAGGGGCAGCAGTGCAGCCCGAAGGCGCGGAGGACAGCAACAGGCCTGCGTGAAGGGGAACCGGATGGGGCCGGGGGAAGGCACAAGTAAACACAGCGGCTCCCTGGCCCACGTGGGCTGGTGGAGGCTGCCGCCAAACAGCTGGCTGGAGGGGACCCAGAGGTTCAGGGGAAGGAAAGGTTCAGTCCAGCACATTCAATTATGTCCCCGACACAAACGGGAAGGCTGGGCCAGGCAAAGAGCCCGCTCCTCCAGCTGTCCAGCAGGCAGGTGGCGAGAATCTTCCTTGAGTTTCGAGCGAAGTGGGCCTGCGGGCCCTCAGAGATCCACAGATCCGCAGGAGACAGCTCACACATCCAGGTCGGGTGGCTGGCGTACAGGGTGCTCAAACCCACAGGGAGGGCGGGAGGGCAGAGCGGACCATGGCAGAGAGGAGAGGCCGGCGGCAAACCTCATGCTTCCTTCAACAGTGGGATATCTGCAGGGAGAGAAGGACGCACAGTCGTTACTGCACCTGGTCCCACTGCAGGGGTCCCCACGCAGCCCTTAGTTTAAAGAAATAAAATGCACTACTTATACACTTGGAGGGGGTCTAAATCCCCTGCCTCTCTATTAGGCCCTTTTTGCTTATCTCTCCCGCTGGGCAGCGTGTTCAGTCCGATACTCAAACACCTTCTGGTCCTACCAACTTGAAGCCTCCTCTGCCTTAACTGCTGATCTGGTTGCCTCTCTTTCTTTCCTTAGTCTCACCCTAGGAGAGTCCTGAGCCCTGCTTACATCCCACCTCCTCCTGAAGCCACCCTCTGGCTGTGTGACAGTGAACACACCCTCCTCCCTCCCTCTCGGCGCTGGCGGCAGGGTTAGACCGGGCCTCAGGGCCCTGGCTCCCTACAGCGCAGTCAGTCTCACACAGTGAAGGCAGGGCCTGCAACGGGCTCTGTGACCCATGTGCTTGGTTTCCGAACCCCTCGCTCTGACACGGACCCTGCGATTCCTGGTTCCACTGCTTCTCAAGTATACGCCCCACCTTCCCAACTGGCCAACAGTGCAGGCAGGCAGAGAGAGCTTTATGCTTCTTTGTTTACCCCTGGAAACTAATCTGGGCACAAGATGGGCTCTCAAAAATGATCACTGGGCACATGGAACGAAGCAAGGTAGTGGGGCGGCAAGGAGGAGAAGGAAAAAAGCAGGCATCGTCTTCACTCTGCAGGAAGGGTGAGGGCCGAGGTTACACCTGGACGCCCATCGGTGTGTGTGAATACACAGCATGTGTGTGTGTGCGAGGGGCCCATGGAGTCGATGGCTTCCTTTAAATCCGGGCCCTCTATTTAGTGGCCTTTCCTAGCTCCATAGGCTGCCGAGAAAAGGCAGGCATGTTGCAGATAATCGGGAAACTCCATAAACACAAGCTGCATTCAGGAATTTCCAACTTCTTTTCTCTCAGATGTGCTGAACCTTAGACGCACACGGCCCAGGATTTCCCAGACGCACGAAGTGTTCTCTGGGGGGCGGGGAGGGAGGAGCTTTGCAAGTGCGAGGTTCCTCCCTGTCAAAAGGGGAACCTCTAGGTTTCTGCCTGCGTCCTGAGGACACTGGGGTTTCTGTGAAGATTTTTTTTAAGTGACAGAGTCAACCCCAACGTTCAAGTCCCCAGGCCCCAGCAAAGGCAGAGGTGTCAGGAGGTCTCGATTTCGCCCTGGGGTGGGTGTGCCACAAGGACCTGGAGTCACCTGGGAGGTAGCGTGGCACCGAGGGGTTGCACACACGGGCTGCAGAACCAGCTCCCAACCAGTTACCAACGGAGCAGCGGCTTACCCTCCTGAGCCTCAGTTTCCTCTGCAAAACGAGGACAGTAACAATAGCTACTCCTCAGGATCCCTGTGAGGGGTACCTGAGGTAGCATAAGAAAGCCAGCTAGCACAGGCCCCGGCATACGCCCATTTAAGACGAAGCGGCTGAGTGCTACAGGAAAGCAATGACCCCCACGTACTTCCTGGTCATTCCTGTTCTTTTAGGAAAACGAGGATTTATAACAAGAGGACAGACCCTCGTCTCCACCCAGCTGTCTCCCCTTTGATTTGGCACAGCCCTGTGGGCATAAGTTTTGGAGACTCCCAACTATCAAAATTCCCAGACCACAGTGCAAGTCTCCCTATACAAAGCCCGAAGAGCTACCTGGAGCTGAGGGTGAAAGCCTGTTGTGCAGATGAATACCCGGGTGTTATCTTTCTTTGCCCCATCACACCAATTATTAGAGAGGCTCACATCCTTCCTCACTCCCGGTGAGGCCCCAGAGCCTCAGTAATTCACGATCAGCACGGCACACCTACCATCTGTGTAGTCCTCTGACGTGAGGGATAAAAGGCTTTGTATGTCACTGTTCTCTGAATCTGGGGCTTCTTTGTGTGCCAGCTGGCTGCCCCCTGAGCCGGCCACCCAGGAAGAGGTGGTTGCCTGATGCACTATCACAGTCTCTGAGCCCCGGGAGCCCCAGGCTTCGCACAGTCCAGACTGGCCCGGGGCCTCCTCCTCTCCACCCGCGGAGGAGCAGGCGCCCTGGTCCTGCAGCTGCTGCTCCCTTGGCCCGTTCCACCCGCCGGGCCCAGACCCTTCGGACAGCACGATCTGCACTCTGGGGTCGGCGGGCGGCACACAGTGACCGGAACTGCCATACACGGCCTCCTCATAGGACGGCAGCGCCACTTGGACTCCATCCACCACGATGGAGACCTGGTCCCCAGACACGCCCTGGTCACGCCTGCATCAAAAGGAGGAAAAGACAAAGGAGAATTAGAATACACCAGAGACAAAGAAACACTGCAACACTAATAGCACCAACCACTTCGGAGCACTCACTGTACGTCAGACACAGCACTGAGTGCTTCACATGTTTTGTCACACCGAGTCCTCACCTGAGCCCTTTCAGATGGCAATGTACCAAAAATGCAAATGAGGCTCAGAGAGGTTCACTAACTGCTCACAGTCACACAGCTGGTAAGGGAGGACGCAGGGATTCAGATCCAGTTCACCTGCTCCCAGAAACTGAGTTCTTAACCTCTGGGTAGACCGGCACCTAGCTCTCTGGTCCGAACCAGGAACCGAGAGGCCCAGAGATAAAACCACAGCTAGAACCGGAAGCGAGAACATGATGACTGCACACACCTGTGGATACACTAAAACCACTGCTACATCCTCAAGTGCGTGCACGGGGTGATCTGTAAAGTGTGTCTCCATGAAGCTCTCATTTAAAAGGAGAGGGAAAAGCAGCACATGCTCTGGAAATGGGACGACGCACTCAAAAGAATTTTGTTCTTCTGACTCAGCCACTTTGCTTGCCTTTTATTATTATTTTTAAATTTGTGAATCATAACACAAATACAGAAAAGAACACATAGAAAAATGTGTTACTCCCTGGTTTATTCCCAGGGTAACATTGTACAACCCCTGCCTCGGTCGAGAAAGAGAACACTGCCGCCCCGCCCCTGGTACCTGGCCCCATGGACTCCCACTTCCTTGCCGTAAGTAACGGAATCCTAATTTCCATGCGAAGCACTCCTTCACCTTTTATTTTAACAGCTGGAATGCCCACCCGGGAGTCCTCCCATACCAGCACTTGGTTCTGCGTTCCTGCTCTTCATGTGAATGGGTGCACAGCAAGTTTGCATGTGTGCCTGGCTTCTTTTACTCAGCACTGTGTTTACGAGATTTATTCAGGCTGACTCCTTTCTGGAGATCCCCTGTTATACACACAGCCTTTTTTTGTTACCTGAACCATTCTGAAAGTAAGTTGAAGACACTGAATGCATACCTTCCAAAAACCTTGTCACCTATACAGCTACAGTATCATTACACCAAGTCAGGCAAAATCAGCCAGTTACTTTTAACAGACTTACTAGTTAACTACAAGAGGGAAAACTCCCTAATGTGAATAAAATACCAAACAAATCAGCTTGATTTTATGTGGAAATAGCTGATTCCTTCGAGTAAATGCTCTCTTCCAAATCCTCTTTATTCTACTTACTGCTTAACAACCTTCAAAGTAGCTGCTCCAACTAAAGAAAAGAAAAAGAAAAACCACACACAGTGCACAGAGATTAAACTGAGCCCGTGCTTGTCTGTAAATTCCCCACGAGAGCGCTCTGTCTAACGTGGTGCAGCCTCCTGCCTGGGAGTGACCACAGGGAGCGAGGAAGGCTCCAAGTCAACAGAAACCGGCCCTGAGAGCAGGAGTGCGCTGCTGCGGAGGCCTGGGCAGCGGGCAGAGAGGTCCAGCCTCAGGGACCCACTGGGGCGACGCCCCGCCACGTGCCAACCCCTCCCCAGCCACGCCGCCCAGTCTGGGGCGAGTTGTGGCTGCCGCACTCAACCAGAAGAAAGTCGGGCCAGGAAACCGCGTCCTCTGTTTCCAGCACACGGCCTAGTGCGCCAGCTGCAAGTCCCGCTGAGCCTTACAGCCAACGGGAGATCTTCATAAAAACACGAGTGCCGGGTTCTCACTCCAAACCAAATAAACCAGGACGGCCAGGGACGCAGGCCCGGGTGCTGGAACTTGTTTTCAACCCCAGAGGGTGCCTCTATGCACACAGCCAGGACTGGAGACCAGGTACACATGGCAGAGGCCCGGGAATACGAGCCGGCCTCAGAATCACCTGGAGGGACCGTGGGACCATCACTGGGCCTCGACCGAGTGTTTCTACGCAGTTGGTCTGGGGCGGGACCTAGAAATGTGCGTTCCCACAAGTTCCCAGGTGATACTGATGCCGCGAGAGCCACACTTTGAGAACCATTGACGTGGGGAAAAGGACATGACTTTGGAGTTGGACAGGTATGAGTTCAGAACTCAGCTCTGTCACCATCTAGAGCAGGGGTACCCAACCTTTCAGTGTCTGTGGGCCCCACTGGAAGAAGAACTGTCTTGAGCCACATGACATATATTGTGACACCTCCCTTCCCTGGCACCCACCCCAGCAGAGGCGGGTGGACACACCAGCGACCCTCTGCCAGTTGAAGGCCGGTCCCCGCAGAGAGGTCTGCCAGCCTGGGCTCACCTGCTGTGATGGAAAGACTTCAGCTTGGGCTGCAGCAGCACAAACAGCACCACAAGGAGGAGAATGAGTGCCACGGAGCTGGCGGTGGAAGCCACTATGGACAGCGTGGGGGACCCGAGTGACGTCTTGGTGTCTTTCTCTACAGAAACAAGCCATTGTCAGAAGAGTCCCACAGCTGATGTTATCAGGGGCCCCTACCATGCAAGGACACGCCACAGCCAGGGTCCTTTTAGGAGTAACGGCACAGAGCAGTTTCCACACAGAAGGGCACGGGCCGTTTCCCGACCCCGCTCTGGAATCTAACGCCCCTTCGCTGCGGGCCTCTGACCACCACCTGACCCCTTGCTTCATGAACCACTTCCGGCCCTGCCCTCCAGAAGCCAGCTGGTGGACACCAACTGTTGGATGGACACACCAGTCCACCGTTTTAAGGTGGACATCTTCTCCCCACCTGACAGGAAAATTTATAAGAACTGGGCTGTAATAACCCCCATTCTAAGATCCTATAGCTTTAGTGGTAACATTCAGGCCAGTCCTCCACCCTTCTTTGGCTGTGACGGCCTCGGGGCCCAGGTGCGAAGCACAATGACGGCTGCGTGACACACACTTTCCTGCGGGCAGCTGGATTCTCCTGTCGTGCACGACAGGAGGTGGGAGGGGGAGGTCTTCTGTCCAGCTGGACTGCAGCTCCATAACAAAACAGCCTATTACCATTCGAGAAAAAAATAATATAAAAGAAACGCTACAGAAGGTGTCAGCACTGTGCTCCTGTGTTGCCAGAACACGGTCAAAGGTCGCCAGTACGTGGCTGGGCAAACGAGAGATCATGAGCAACAAAGGGACCTTATGTAGTGAACAGATGCCTCGGTGAAGCTACTGAGCCCCTCAGTGGCTCGGCCGAACCACACGGGACGGCACCAGCAACCCTGGGTGTCTCTCACAGAGACCAGAATCCCAGATGAAGGGAGGCTGCAGGGCCCCAAGGGCCTACACTGCCCCACACCATGAACGTTCAGGGGAAGCGAGCACCATCCCCCTTGAGTCGGAAGGAAACAGAACCCTGTTCTCATCTTCCCGACTGACCCTCGTTCAGATGGCAGCTGATCTCCATGGCTGGTCTCCACTCGCCATTCTTACACGTCAGGTACTTGTAATCGCCCTTTAACACGTAGCCTTCGGCACAGAGGTACTCGATGACACTGCCAGAGTTGAGGGGGTCTCTGCAGGGCCGGGGGTGGCAGACGTAGCCGCCATTCTCTGGCTCCGGGGGCAGGGAACACACTGCAAAGACACAGAGAGAGCGATGGCACGGTGGTGAGGTTTTCCGCGGGAGTCTCCGCGGGGACGCAGAAGACAGTGCTAAAGGCCTCGGCAAGGAACACAGGCGGAGCACAGAGCCAGTCCCTCGGGAAGGCTGCTGGCCCGAGCGCGGACATGCAGGCTGCCACAGAGGGATGTGCACTGGCAACAGTGGAGACTCGGCTGCTGGCCAATTCCCCTCCCCCTGCTCACTGTCTGTAACCACCCACGACTGAACACAGACTCTGACCAAGTCCTGAACTCACAGAGATCTGGCGCATACTACGGTTTCAAGAACCCTACTGAGACGCACGAGTCTGTGGAAGCTGACAGAATACCCCAACCCTGCCTGGGGGAATGTCAGCCGTGGTTTCAGCATCAACACCAGAAAGGACTCCCTTCTTGGCCGCAGAGGGGATTTCTGACGGCTCTCCTGGGGGCGTCTCCCACTCCCTGACTAACGGTCACTGGCCTCCCCGGTCCCAGCCCACAGTAAATCCCACCTCTTCGCCGAGGTAGGACTGCCTGGTTTTAAAAGCACTGTCCACAACACAACACACAGATGATGTATTACAGAACTGTATACTTGACTCTTACATAAATTAACTAATGCAACCCCAATAAATCCAATAAAATATTTAAAGAAAAATAAAAGCGCTGTCACCTCCCATCCTATTAATTCATTTTGACAACTCCACGAGGTAGTGACCATGACCACCGCCTTTTGAGGGTGAGGACACTGAGGCCCACAAGAGTTCAACGACTCTTAGCCAGGGGGAAAGCAGACTAAATGGCAGACCTGGGAGCAGAGTCAAGTAAGTCTTCTGGCTCTAAAACCTGTGCTCTTTTTCCCAGCAGGCACTGCTTCTACCCCATGAGCTGAGTGGGCCTTTACCAAGTGTATCTAGTGCATCATCCAGACAGGTCAGTTAGGGAGATGGCCAGCGGTGCCTAAGCACCGGGGGTGGGAACCCCAGGGTGGCTGAGCTGCAGTAAGGATCAGCCAGAGGAGCTGGAAGCAGCCCCAGGGGGGAGAAGGCCGGCCTTTGACTCCACAGCCTGCCCTTCGGACCCCGGACAGACACAGCAGAACTGAAGTCATCAGGACGTGAATGAAAGGGGCACTGAGCCAAGACAGGAGAGGCACAGTGTGGGCACCTGGATCACTGTTTGAAAGACTAAGCTGGGGTCGAGAAGGCCTGCTGGCAAGATGGCCAGGCATCCACCAACTTTACCTTTCCAAGAGTTGCGTCCAGACAAGGACCTGCCCCTATTCTAAATACCACAAGGACCTTGGTATGAGAACTGGAACGGTGGGTTGCTTTTTTCCACCGCCTCTAACAGATCTGGAGTCTGTGGTCCCCAGTAAGGTGGTCTCTCACTCAGAGGCCCACCCTCCACTCTCACTCAGAGGAGGGAGCCCCAGCAGCCTCTCACCTCACGCCACTTCCACCTACAAATCACTACTAAGCGAGCGAGCTGGCTGTCAGCCAGGCTCGGGGGTGGATCTAAGTCTAAAAGGAGAAGGCAGCTCCATGTCCTCAAGCTGCTTGTCACCAAGATGAGGACAAACTCTGTTTTTAAAGAGCTGTTAACGGTACAAAGCTGGGTGGGTGCCGCAGGGATCGGGAGCAGGCAGCCGGGCAGCTTCTCTGAAACCAGCAGACGAGCCCACACGAGTCTCCTCGGTCCCCTCTCAGGACGACCCTCCTCCAGACTGCTCCCAAGCCACCCGCCTCGCCCAGAGTCATGGACAGGAGGGAGACAGACGCAAGCACTCCTTCTGGTGCCTCTTTATACTTTGGCCAAGTAGCTCATCAAAGAGCTGGCCAGCTGAATTTCCAAAGAAACCTCAGCACACTGCTTCACCCTCTCCGCTGGCCCTCCTTTGTTCAGGCAACAAGCCCACCACAAATCCCTCCCACTCTCCTTCAGCTGTGTCTAACTGATTCATTTCCTCCACGTAATTAATGCCGAGCACCCCAGGACAGCTCCTGAAAGTGGGCAGGACCCATGCACGGTCCCTTGTGCTGGGTAAGATGCCCTTGGGGGAGGAGCTGCTGATTCTAAAGCCACTCCTGCTTCGCTGGGAATTTCTGCCCTTAAAATCCGCATCTTCACAGAATCTTTGAGCGAGACCCTGAAGGTCACCTAGCACTCATAAGTGAAATCTACAAGGAAGTGACTGGCAATTCAAGTTCATTTCAACTAATATTTATTAATTACTGTGTAGGGGTCACTGCCCCATGCTCTGAAAAAGATAAGAACACTCTGGGTACTGGTACCCAAACAGGGTAGACAAATAAGCACACACGTATACTTTGAAAGTAATTTTCTTTATGGCGCCTGATTTTGTGTCTTACTTAAGGACACTTCCCTACTCTGAAGTTACAAAAACATTCTCCAATATTTACAGACTGGATCTTTGCTATGCAGATAATACTCTATAGGGAAAAAACCACAGGAAGCATATATACATGGAATAAAATTAAAAAACCAAGATGAGTGTTCAGTCCAAAGGAAGCCCTTCTCCTGGTCCCTAGTCCCTCGGTTCCTCTCTCCAAAGACCCTGTAACCAGCTTCTGTATTCCTCCAAAGACATCCTACACAGAGTTGCTCTACGACACGTCAAAGAATGTCACTGGTGCCATGGGAGAGGGAGCTCAAAGCAGGAGAGCACGTCTGGTGCGGGAGAGACGAGGAAAGGCCCCCACAGAAGCAGCATCTCAAATGGGGCTCCAATCCCTTAGGAGAGGAGGCGGCAGTCTGAGGCAAATGCACCGACTTAGGAAAGCCGAGGTGCAGCCCAGCATAAGGGGGCCTCTGCAGCCTCCGGAGAAGGTGGCTGGAGGGCCCTGACAGAAGATGGGCCAGAGGGCGAGAGAGCCTTCACGGTACGTTGGCAGTATCACTACCCTGATATGGTAAAATACACTGTACAGAAATCTTGTACGTTGACCTGTGAAGGTCATACAAAGGAAACAAACTACAGAATATGAGCTTCAGCATCACAAAGAGGCCACCCACCCCTCCACCTGTCCAAAGAAAGAAATAAGGAGGACTCAAGGGAAAAAAGCATTTATGACATCAAGAACATAAGAAAAAAAATGGCCTCCTTGAGCAAAGAGCACAGTGGGAGGGTCCTGGCAAAGGGCAGGGGTTGGCGAGGACCCTCTCCGAGGTGCCTGGGGTTAACAGGAAAGAGAAGGTCAGGGACAGCAAATAAATTATCCAGTGGCTTCCTGAAGCTACTGTTTTGGGCAAGAGGCTGACTTAATCTGAGCATCAGGCTCATTGTCTGACAACCCCAGGTCCGCAGAGGGAGTTTCAAGCTCTGTTCTTAACCCCAAGAAGACAATGAACTCATCTGATTTGGCAAAGCTGCCTGACTTGTAAGAGAGAGGGAGAAAGCCAGAAGATAGAAATTTTCAGGGAAAAAAATCAATTCTCCTCAGCTTCCTTCTCTGTTTCCCATTATCTCTTACAACCACTTGGGCCTCCAGCGAGCACAGGAAGCAGTGACGTAACTTCGCAGGGGCCGGCAGCACGCCTGGCACACGGCAGTCATTCAGACAGACCATCCGTCCAGCTGGTGAGGGTGCGGACGGCGGAGAAGCAAAATGGGACTGATCCTTCCATCCCGGGTCGTCCCTGCAGCCTCAGACCCTCAGCAGAAACCGACAAGAACCCTCCCAATCTGCCCTTCAAATATTTTTTGCACTTGTTGTTATGTAGATAAGCTTTTTAGGAGGTGGAAGCAAATTAAAACAGAACAAATTTTCATAAGATTGCATAAAAAGCCTATCAAAACGAGCTCCAGGAAAGACCAGGGGGTCACAATGTTTGGTTTAACAAACTGAACAAATACTCGAGTCCCTTCAAAACCAGTGTGGGGAGCAGGGCATGTGAAGCTCAGCTTGAGGGAGGGAAGCAGACATGTAAATACCTTGCACATTTTTAAAGGTCTCAGGCCAAGAGGTTTGTGGCTGACAACAGGTATGAAGAGCACACACCACTCCTGCACACAGTGACCGAGGGTGTGAGACGCTGTGTCAGTGTTCACTCACAGGTTTGAAACAGCATCGTTTTCGACAAAGTCAGTGCGGCAGAACTCACCTGGGCACAGACTGGGTGCTGGGGAAAGTGGCTGGAGGAAGTTTCCCCAGGAATTTAGGGGAGAAGACAGAGGTTCCCCAAGCCCAGCTACCCACATGGCAGTTGTCGTCACCAGGGACAGAGTTGAGGCAGTGCCGTAAATGTCCCTATTTGGCTGTAATCCCACCGAGAGTAAAGCAGGCCTCCCCACACCAGATGCCCTAGGAGGGCCATGGAACGGAATGTGACGGGACTACGCCCTCAGAAAGCTTACGATCTCAGAGGACACAGACACGCTCACAGCAAACTGCAACGCACGTCGAAGAAGGAAATGTTCAAAGATGAGCTTTTCTATCAGCCTGGGTGACCTTCTGGGCAGACGCCTCATTCACCGAAGCCCTGCCTGCAACCAGAGGAAGGGGAGGGCTCTGGGCATAGACAGGGAACAGAGTGAAAGTACCAAGGGCAGGAAGTAATAGATGGACCCCACGCATCTAAGTCAGCACTGTCCAGCAGAAATACAATGTGACCACACAGGTCATTTTAAAGTTTCTAGTAGTCACATTAAAAACGTAAAAGAGCCCTGGTTGGTGTAGCTCAGTGGATTGAGTGTGGGCCTGCAAACCAAAGGATTGCAGTTCGATTCCCAGTCAGGGCACATGCCTGGGTTGCAGGCCAGTTCCCGGCAGGGGACGCATGAGAGGCAACCATACATTGATATTTCTCTCTATCTCTCCTGCCCTTCCCCTCTAAAAATAAATAGAAAATCTTTTAAAAAATCACTTAAAAAAGTAAAAGAAAACAGGTAAGATTTATTTTAATAATGTATTTTATTTAAGCCAATATATATATGAAAAATTACTGGTTACATCTCAATGTGCAATTGACATAAACATTTATTAATGAGATAACTTATATGCATTTTTTAGTAGGTCTTTACAGTTACAGCACATCTCAAGTCAGAGTAGCCGCATTTCAGGTCCTCAGAAGCCACACGGAGCTAGCGGCCACTGCACCGAACGGCACAGGCACTCGGGGCAGGAGGGAGTGCGTCCGGGAGTCACAGGACGAGTCTGGGACCGGAAAACGTGGGGAGGGCTCGGGGCCGCACCCAGGGCATGGAGTCCACCAGTGGGTGTGGACAGAGAGCCCAATGAGCACTGAGGGTCCCTTCTCGTTTTAAAAAGCACCGCTGTGTGCTTGTTCTCAAAACCTTTTCTTGATATACGAAGGTCCAATTTCTACTTCTAGCCCTAAATGGTGTGTTGGGAGAGAAGACAGCCAGAAAAAAAGCGAGGTGAAAATTGAGAAAAACGGTGTTCCAATGAGCACATGTAGGGGTTGGCAGGGGGGCAGGACGTAGGACAAGGAAGATAATGACCATAAACAGTGCATTAATGGGCCAGGAACTCTCTCTGTACAGGCAGCAGGTACTGTATTTTCCTCATTTTACAAATAAGAACAGGGGGTCTCGGCTGAGTTGAGCAATTTGCCCCACCACACATTTGTAAAGGAGGAGGCTGTGTTCCACAGGCACGCGGGCTCCTGGGCTGGCTGGGCAGGGCACTGATCCAGGCTCCACTGAGGGGCTCACCCTCTAGGCGTTTGGAACATCTGGCAACCGTGTATGTGAAAGGGAAAGTCATGTTATACACTGCGAACAGGCTAGTTCAACAGGGAGGTGATTCTCAAGAAAGCTGGAACTAAGTATGCCAGGCACAAGCAAACAGGAGTGGGGGGGGGGGGTTGTGATGGATATAGTCCCATCCGATTAGTCAAAAGGTTTCTTCTGAAGCCTTCTTTAAATCTCAGTAATAACATATTTATCAGCCACCTACCACACACTAAGCAGTAGCCTAAGCACTTCCCATGTATAAGTCATTGTTAAAGCTTCACAAAAACCCAATAAAAAGCATACATTAGACAGGTGAGCAAACTGAGAGGTGAAGAAACTTGCTCCTGGTTGCTCAGCAGGGGGCAGTACTTGTTCATGGTCACAGCAGCAGTGGGTCGGAACAAAGAATTTCTGAGTCCAGCTCCTCCTCCCATTCCCACACCCAGGAAAGGGAGCTACAGGTGAGGGGAGCCCAGTGGCAGCGACACTCTGGGTACTGCCTATAGACACGAGCCACTCTGGGCCTCAGTTTCAGTACATGAAGGCACTGGACCAGAGGACCTTGGCGATCTCTTCTGACATTTGCAAATCTGTCTGAAGTGGGGCGGGTGTCTCAGCTGGCTGCACCATCGATGAGTCTACAGCCACTGTGATTTCTGAATTGAGCACAGGATGAGAGGCTGAAGGCGAACATCCTGCCTGTGCAGAAGCTGCTGCATCGGTCAGGGCAGGTGGGAGCAAGGAAACGGGCAGGAGGAGCTCCATTTCTCAACAGGTAGCCAAGGGCTCTTCAGATCACAGCTCTCCCTGGCTTTCTGCCTCCCTGGCGCCCAATCAAATAGTCGAAACTGTAAAACCGGCCGCAAGGAGAGGGAAGAGACGATTTCTCATGCCATTTGCAACCTTCCTCTTCTCCACAACACAACTTCCCAGCAGTCAGACAGGAAGCCCATTGTCCAGCCAGGATCCCTTTTCTCATGAGAACTTCCCACATGCTGGGGGAGGGCCAGTCTTCCCCAGAGTGTGGCCCTGGGGCAGGAGTGGGAAAACAGAGGGAGAAACCGCCCTGGTTTAGGCTGCCTGCTGCAGCCTCCTCCGCCTCCATCACTTGCCTAAGACAGGCCCAGCCCAAGCCCTGCAGCTCACAGGTGTGTCTGGCCTCAGAGCCCATCCACCTTACTTTAGGTCCCTCCACTTCACAGGAGGGAGAAATGCCAGTCAGCACCTTCAGAGCCAACAAGAAGGAACATTTTCTTTATTGGACCCTGGCCCAAACAGGAAAACTCCTGTCACCTGGAAGCTGCCACCAAAGTCCTTAGTCATTCTGAAAGAAGACATGCTGTTTCTCTCTGCAACCTGGAAACCCTGACCTCAAAGCACATGCGGTCAGCTGGAACCATGCCCATCTGTCAAGCTTCAGCCCTGTCCTATGCCGAGAAACCCAAGCCAGTCCAAAGAGAATCGCCAGAGAGAATTAAGTGCACCAGGTACCGCTTACCTGCATGGGCCGAAAATGGGAGCACCCAGGCGTGTTCTGCTCTGACAGTTACCCACAGTGTGGGCTTGGGTAGGTCTTCCTACCCCTCAGTTCCCTCATCTGCAAAATGGAGACACGAAAGGTGTCTCCCTCACAGGGTTGCTGTGCAGATCAATCATACTTGTGCAGGCGAAGTACCCGGTGTTGGGTCTGCAACTTTATTATTATTCCTCTGTGTGCTCTTAACATCTCCTTCACTCCCCTCTACAAACTATTGCCACGCTGTCTCTGCAATTACTTTCTCATAGGCCAGCCCTTCCCCCACCCCTCTACAACCCTACCCACCCACCCACAGTGCAGGGCAAGCATTTGTTCTGCTCATTTCTGTATCTCTAGTTCATGGCACAGAATGTACAGAGAGTAGATGCTTGTAGAAAACTACTGATCTTGCAAAATTCTGCCCACATTTCAAGGCACTGTCTTGTTTCCAACAGTAAAGGGTCACGTAGTTTCTGATTTAAGTGTCAAGAACAGATAACAGCAAAGAGGCCCCCAGGACAGGGCTGTGGGGTGGGGGGGTAGGGGTCAGAGCATGGTCCTGGGTGTCAGGCGGATGAATCTGGGTTTGACCAGGGGGCTGCTCTGCAACCCTGTTGACTGCCTGAACTCTTCCGAGCCTTACTCTTCAACAGCCCATACCCACCCCTATGAGGTCTCTGCAAGGACAGAGAAAACTACCCCTGAAAACGTCTGCATCTTGCCTGGCACATACCAAGCACTGATGGCTTTTGTGCATTTATGTTCACACAGCAAACTAAACCCTTACCTCTAGTTTGTGGAATGGGGAAGGGCAAAGAAAAGAAAAAAGACTGTTTCCGAAATTTCTGGGTATCTGGAGAGGAAAGAGGCAGAGAAGAAAGCAAGATAAGCACTCTGGGAAATTGTGCTTTGCTCTCCCCTTGCTGCAGCTCAGTAACATGCCAGCCCCTTTCCTTACTTCCCTTCCCAGCAGCACAGACTGGGCTGCTCTTGGCTGACAAATGGCCTGTTACCCTCCCATCTCCGTGAGTTCTCACAGCCCAGGAACTCAGGGGAGCAGGTTTCCAGCTGGAGCTGCACCCCTCCCAGCCCCTCTACTATATAACTGCTAAAAGAAGGGTGGGCAGGGGGACCACTTTCCTTCATCCGTCCACGCTAGGCCTGGGTCATTCAGTGTCTAAAGCCACCCACCCAGTGCAGTGATCGACAGAGCAGAGCACACAGCTGTCCCCCACTCTCATTCCTAGGATGCTGGGGCGACAGCAGAGCGGGGGAGCCAGGCTGTTCCATGCGCATTAACAAACATTACTACACCCCCCTTCAGGGTGCTAGTTAAAGGGTTACAAGAAAGCAACGCATGTCTACTTACTTCCTTATCAGCTACTGCTGCTTTCTGGTTTCTCTTCCTTTACCCTATCATGGGACTGAGCTGTACTTATATTTGCTTTTCCCCTTGGAATTCCCACATTCAAGAGGATGCAGGCTGGTCCTCTGAAAGAAGGTTCCAAGTATTTGCTTAAGGCACTGTTGAACCTCAGGAGGGTAACTGGTGAACGAGTGATAATTTAGGAATCTGCCTTGGAGTTCAAAACAGGTTAGGACTCTTAGTCATTTCAACTCCTCAATCTAATTTTAACTCTTAATGCCAAGTTCAGTGCCAAGAACACATAGTAGGCCTTCAATAAACACAAATTTAAATTTAAAATAAATTTAAAGATGTCTGATATTCAACAGGGTAAAATTGAGGAAGAGAGTTAACACATTACCAGGCACTACACTGAGCACTTTCTATATTTTTTATTTTTATTTTTTTAAGATTTCATTTATTTATTTCTAGAGAGAGGGGAAGAAAGGGAGAAAGAGAGAGAGATAAACATCAATTGAGAGAGAAACACTGACCAGTTGCCTTCCTCATGTGCCCGGACCAGGGACCGAACCCGCAACCCAGGCATGTGTCCTGACCAGGAATAGAACTGGTGATCTTTCCCTTGGCGGAATAACACCCAACCAACTGAGCCACGTAAGGCAAGGCTATACTGAGCACTTTAAAGCTGCCATCCTATTTATTTTTCCTGCCCTGTGAGGAAGGTGCTATAATTTCCTCAGATGAAGAAACAGAGGCTTTGAAAAATTTAGTAATGGCCTGAGGTTACAGGGCTACTAAGTATTGAGAGTCTAAATTCAAACTCTGGCTTGTCCTTCTATTGGAGTTTGCAGAGCAGAGCACACAGAGAAAAAGCCCCTTCTGATTACAGATGCCACTGAAAAAATCTAGCCCAAGACCTACAGAAGTGTAACATGGGGCGAGGTGTATCTGGACAAAAGCTACAGTGATCCCGTGTGGAGAAGAATGTGGACGGGTGAGGTGACTCGAGCCTGGAGGATTTGGCTCGTATCTCAAATGGGGCCACATTTTTCTAGAGAATTTGGGTGGAGGGAGGAAGGCACGACAGACAGTTTCCTTCTGAGCACCACAAACAATGGAGCTATTTAAGCATCATAAATACCAAAGCTGCAAGTGAGAAAGGTATAGGAGCGTTTTCAGCAGAGAACACAAGTCTTCCAAGAGGGTTATGTGCGAGGAAGGTCGCCACTCGACACAGAGGGGGTGAGACCGAGACTTCTGCAAAGGGCTGCCTTTCTGCCAGCCAGCTGCCCGGCACACACAGGGTTGCCCAAAATAAACAGCCTCTGCCACATACCACCAGACAGTAACTGAGGCAGCACTTCGCTTCTGCCAGGTGCTCAGCAGGCCAGACCACGCACCTGGGTCTACACAGCCGCGAACAGTGACAGGAAGTAATCAGCAAACTCCAGTTATGAACAGTGGCACACATCTGCTGGTGATGGCCTAAAACCAGCAACACACCATAGTGGTTTGAAAAACACTTGCCAGTTACAGAGGGGTAAAGGTCTAAGTGGAATTTCCTGAAGAAAGGGATGTGACTGGCTCTCTGTGTGACAGAGCAGGTGTGGTGACCAGACCTCGAGGCTGAGGCATGCCATGAAGTGAGCCCTGTGCCTTCTGTGGGGGCTTGTACGAGAGCTGACCCGTGAGAAAGGGACCAGGAAATATAAAAGGGAAAAGCAAAGGTGGGGGTTCTGAGAGGAGAGGGTTGGAATGAGGCTGCCAGAGCTAAGGGTCTTGCCTTTACAACCTCTGACACCGACCAGGATAAGGAACACTGATGAGTGAGCATGAGTACATGGAGTTGAAAGTTACAAAGGTCACTGATCTGGACATTCCTCCTCCTCTATCGTGGGGCAGGGGGCGGTTCCCTTCTTCACAGCACCCATCTCAAACCGCCCCTCCCCGTATAGCCACCACAGGAAAAGCAGCTTGTCATGCCTTCTTAGCTTCCTCTGAAGCTCCCAGAGGGGAACTTACCACTCTGCACTACCACCAGTTGATCAGGCGCAGAGAGGAGTCTAAACTACCCAGCGTTTTCATTTTTTTCTGTTTTTTATACTCCCCTATGTCCAAGCATTTGGGTCTCCCTAAAGATCTGGACCGGACGGGGTAAGGACGGTCAGCAGAGGGGCTGCGTGCCGCCGAGTACGTGTGGCAGATCCCGTTCCTCCTCTCAGACAGCGAGAAAGACCCTCTCTCCTCCAGTGCATTCCTCCCACGTAGTTTTCTGAGACAGCCTCAGTGAAGCTTCTTTAAGGAACTTGGAAAACTACAGGAATTCAAGGAGTTCATCATCACCAAGCCCTTATTATATGAAATGTTAAAGGGACTTATCTAAGAAAAAGAAGTTACAGAAACATGAACAGTGAAAGGACAACAAACTCACAGTTATTAACAACCACACCTAAAATGAAAGCAAACTAAAAGGACAGCTAGATCAGGAGTGGAAACATAGAAATGAAGATCTCAAGGAGGGTTAGCAACAGGGGAGTGGGAGGAGGAGAAGGGGGGAGAAGGTACAGAAAATAAGTAGCATAGACAGTAGATAGAAAATAGATGGGGGGCAAGAATAGCATGGGAAATATAGAATCTAAAGGACTTGAGACACATGGTCATAAACTAAAGGGGGGTAATGGTGGGGATGGGGGGTATGGTGGAGGGGAATGAAAGGGGGAATAGAACAAATGTAACAGCATAATCAATTTAAAAATTTTTAAAACAAAGAAAACTACAGGAATCCAAATAAACCTGCTGCGAGGTCCAAGGCAGGGCACCTGGCTCCCAAGGTGCTTTCCCACATGGCTGGGGCTTGCTGGCCTTTGAGTCTAGCCTGAGTCTTTATCAGTCTGGCTCTAGCATATTGTTGTGACTCCTTGATCATAAACAGAGTGGCCTCAAGGCAGGTGTGTTAGTGAAGCTCGACCCTTGATCTGGACAGAGGCAGGGGTAGAGTCTCAACCCTGCTTTATTTGTCACACCCAGGCCCATGGCTTCCCCTCTTCTCTCTTTATCTTTGGACTCCTGACTCTGGCGAACCACTTACGACCTGTCGGAGATTCCTGGTAAGACGTGGCCTGTTGCAGCCTCACCCATTCCTGTATCAGCAGAAAACTATGTCCAGATGTCACACGGGTAAACAGAAAACACCTTTTAATCCTTTGTCTTTTAAAGAGTGGGTTTCATAACTTTCACCTAGGAGAGGGTAGAAAATATGTACATGTGCTGATTCTTTCCCTCAGGTTCACTGTCCTCATAGGACCTTTTTGATTAACGTTAACAAGTGTCTACCGAGCACCCAGCTGTACGCTAATGTGTCGGACTTTGCGGCGAAGTAGGGCTGTGCCATGTAAAGGACGGGGACTCCGGGGTTGTGCCTGTGACACAGGAGAGTGGGAAGAACGTGCCCGGAGGAGACGAGGGGAGGAGTGACAGCGGAGAAGGAAGGAGAGTGGCATGTGTGCGGAAACCAGCAAACGGCTCCAGGTCTGCCCGGAGAGCGCTAGAAACTCCGAAAATCGGGCTGCACCAGAACAAGGAGGGCCCTGGACACAAATCCAGAGAATGAAAACCTTGGGCTCTTCTTCCATAAAACGAGATTTTACGGACCTTTCCAGTCCTAAAATGCAAAGTCATATACTGCTAATAATAAAATGAAAGTCTGCCCTATAGTACTAATCCAGCCAAAGAAACCAAACATATAAATCTGCCTGCCTACTCTTAAAACTATTTTTCAGTGGAGCTGGGTATGCTGGTGCGGTGGCATGGGCAGGACAGAGGGGAAAACTGTGAGTTTTCATCGTGTTTCTAAAGTTTGCCTGGGCGAAGGGGGCCAAGAAAGAACCGTACGGACTGGAGCAGAGGAGAGTGATACAAAGATATCTCGTGGTCAGTTTCTCCTCCCAGGGCTCCCTCCCAGGGCAGCAGACGGCCTATCCTGGGAGGACTGGATCTCAAAAAGCAGCTGCTCCCAGGTCCTGACTCGAACAGCTGGGGTCACAGGACCGCTGCGCCACGCCGAATGCCAGAAATCAATGGGCTCCATTGTGCCCGAGTGCATGAGTTCTCGCGCCCAGGCTCCGTCCGGCCCGATGCCTGCTTGGAACACAGGGGCTGGGGAAAATAACACTACCCACTTTGAAAGACTGCACTTGCAAATTAATGGAAGATACAGCATTACAAAGTCCTATTTTATTTAAATTACCTTGATTGTGCTAGGAAACTATTGAGATGCTAATTATTTGAGAGATAAAAGACTTTGCCCTTTATCCCCCAAGGCGTGTGCGGGGCAGCAGTGTGGAGTGTTCTGGGCGAAGGGTCAGAACACAACCAGTGGAAAATCACTAACCACCTCTGGTCTTCCTCTTCTTCCTGCCCGAAGAATGGAGTCTGGCTCCACCATACCAACCAAAAAGCAAGTTGGATGTTTCATGTACTAGAAAAGA